CATTTCCCCCTTTCCCTCACCCCACCCCCATCTGCTCCTCAGAAAGGTTAAGGTCTTCCCATCACTTGAGAAAGAACCAAGCACCCCACACTCCGTGCCTAGGCTGAGCAAAGATCACTCCATAGAAAATGGACTCCTCTAAGTCAGCTCATGCATTAGAGTTAGATGCTAGTACTACTGCCAGTTGCCCCATACATGTCCCAAGCCACAACCTGTATTCAGGAGGCCTAGTTAGGTCCTATGCAGGTTCCCCAGTTGTCCTATTGGGTCAGTGATCTCCCACTAGTTCAGGTCAGCTGATTCTGTGGGTTTCCCCATCATGGTCTTGACCCCTTTGTCCATTTTATCTCTCCTCCCTCTCTCTGACTGGGGCATGGCCCAGTGGTTAGTTGTGGATCTCTGCATCTGCTTCCCTCTGTTTCTGGAAGAGGGTTCTAGCTTCTCTGGGGTTGTGGACTATAGGCTGGTTATCCTTTGTGTTAAGTCTGGTCTCCACTTATGATGCTTCCGGGTCTGGGTTACCTCAGTCAGGCCCAGAATAGTAATTATATCATAGTAATAATTTCCCCTAATCTTCAAAATAAGCTAACAATTGCTAGCTCGTGTGGGCAAGAGATTACAAGAGATTTTTGATTTAAATTTCAGAAGGCTTTGCATATATATAATATTAAATAAATGGGCTAGATTCCTCTAAGAACATATTCTTTAGAGTGACACTTCAATGGATTCTATTCACTAGTCTATTCAAACCATTGTAGAAAAAAAGAAGAAAGAAGGAACTGTCAAAGGAGTGTGGAGCAAGTTTTGACAGAAAGCATCACAACCTCTAATAACTTTATTTGTACAATATTTTGATGAATTCACTTACCCTGAAGGAGGGAAATGCTAATATTTATCTGTGTTTCTTAACATTAAAAGAAGTTCCTGACTGTATGACACTGTTTCCTCAACTACTTATAGTGAAATGAGATTAAAGGATGAGCTATTATTGGATGTGAAGTGCTTTATGCACTTGCTCTGTTCTGCAAACCTTGATTACAACCGCCAGTAGAGGAGCACATTCAGCCTCCAGGCACGGCCGGGGACCTAAGGCACAGGTCTCTATTTCCTGGAGCTTTCTTGGGGTAGTAGCAGGGTTCTCCTGGCTATGTTAAAGCAACCATCTGTTATGTCTTCATGTCAGCTTTAGAGCTTCACACTTCTAAGAGCACAGTGAGACTTGGATGCACCCGGAATACAATCATTACCGTACCTTAGGTAGAGGAGAAAATGTAAGGATCACCAAGGGCACTAGCACTCTGGACTTGATCTAAATGGGCAATAAGGGAATGAAGAAAGGCCAGCCACACAGATACATGTATGGAAAAGCCGGGATGGGTGGTTGTACCTGCTCTGGTAGAGGACACCTACACTGCAACAACCCAGGACAGCATCAGGAGGCAGGTTAGCTGGTCTTAGGGTGGGTGTCCTAAGGAGAGCAATCATCTGGGAGGAGGAAGCTATGGTCGCTAGTTTTTGTGCACACTGGCCCATCATCTATAAGCACTGTTATCTAAACCAGAGGAAGACTTTCCCAGTTCATCGAGCTTGGCCCAGGGAAGTTGGGACAACACTTGTGGGTCTGAGGCATTGGGGCCATTGCCATAGTGCTGCAATACACATTCACTCAGGACTTCGTCAGCTCTCTACACGAGGATTTGCAGCTACTGAGTGACTCTAGCTATTCTAAGTTTCGAAGACCCCAGAAGCGCTCAGATGGCTGTAGGTGAACAGAACCTTGCCTTAATTCCCTGGCTATCTCTCGTAGGCTGGAATGAGCAGCAGGTGCAGTAGAATTTGGCCTGTCTCAGTGTCACTATTTTCATTGACGATAGATGGAATGGTGTGGGGTCAGGGAGATTCGGGTTTTTACTACAACCCTACCACCAACTAAGAAAAGAATCATGGAACCAATCAACCTCCTCAAACGTCAGGTTTCTTATCCATTAAAATGTGACTCAGTGAGAATGAACTGGAAAACTTCTAAAAATTGAAAGTACAAAAGAAATTTTTAAAAGTTTCCATTTTTTTTAGGTCATAAACATCATTAAAAATCGCCTGGAAGACCAAGTCCGAGCACCACCCGGAGGAAATGCAGATTTCACAAACAGACCGTCCGTCCTACTTTTAAAGGTAAAGGACAGGATCTGAACTGAAAGGCAAAGGGACTTTAGAAAATCCAATGAGGTGAATTAACACTGGCCTCACACAGTGAGCAAGAACACTGAAGCTGGCAGGTTGTCAGGTAGTCTGCTCTCACAGACCAAACTGAAACATGAAAGATCAGGGAAAAGAAATTCGTGTGGAAGACAGAGTCCTCAGAAGTAGTTCACATGGATGGACAATGTGTGTGATGGCCAATTGGCTTCCTGGCCGGCAGCTCTAGGGACCGAGGCTGCCTTAACAGAGGTCTCTAGGAGCAGCTAAAGTAGCCAATGCGGAGCAGCAGAGCTCTGTGGGTTATGACACACGTGGTAGTCAAGCTGCTACTGATTATATCACCACCTCAGCCAGAAAGCCCAGCTGCTGTGTCAAGTCTGATAAAAATGGAAAGTGCACCCCACTTGCTGGTAGCTTTCTCCCCAAGTACTTCAAGAAACTGTGAGGCCGGCTTTTGTAATGGTGCCTATTATGCAATGGTAGATAGGGGTGAACTATGGCCCCAGGAACTCAGTTTTCTACAGGCTTTTTAGAAATGGAGCCATGTAAATTTCTCTAATGGAAACAGCTGGAGAAATATAGATATCAAGCCCATGAGGACATCAAAGCCCTCGTTGTGGGGGAAAGCCCCAACACAGGAAAATATGTGGGCCTGATTTCTTCCATTCTGGAAGGGGGAGACCTGAGTTTCTTGGGCTTGGATGAAGATCTGAGAAGACAAGAACACTGACGCCGGCGGGTCAGCAGGTAGCCCGCTCACACAATGGCGTGCTTTAGTCTGAAAGGCACAGAAGAAACTTCTGAATTCTTAGGTGACAAATCAAGATCAGGAGACCTGCCTCTGACCTGTCTTCCTTCAATCATGCCACCTAAGGAGCTGTTGCGCTTACTGCAAGATACATGCAGAGTTTTGTTTTGTTTTTCAGAATATTGTCCAATGCATGGAGAATTGTCCCAGAACCATTCTCTTTGTTCTTTGTGAGAGATTACAAGCCACTATTCCTTACAGTGATTAACCTTCCAGCCTCCACTATCCCCAGTGTCAAAATTCAGTTGAAAGTAATTGCTTGATTTTCAAAATTCTTTACAACACTCAACATGCACCATTTCCTCAGAATCTCACGTGTCTACATCCAAGCATTAGGTCAACAGGAACACAGATGACAAGAGAGTGGGTTTTGGAGTCAGAGCATTCTAGTTTCAAATCTTCATCCTACCCCTTTACTGGCAGTAATGACTGAGTAACCTCAAACAATAACTTCTCTGATTCTGTTTTTTTTCTTTTTTAAAAATGAATTGTATTCATTGTTTTTTATCTGTTAACATGAAGTGTATGTGGATACATGTATCCACAGTGTGAGTGTAGCAGTCAGAAGGCAACTTTGTGGAGTCTGCTCTCACTTGTCATCTTTATGTGAGTTCTGGGATCAGGATGCAAGGTTCCCACAGTAAAAACCTTTCCCCTGTGAGCCATCTCTTCAGCCTTGACACTCAGTTTTTTGACCTACAAAATGGGATCATGTCATAGGTATATGGTAAGGCACATATTTTTTTCTCTATGTACCCAGGGGTGGTTTAGATACTAGATAAATGTCTGCATAAAGACTAGACCAGTACAAGGCACTAAAAATGGAGATATTAAAGGCAACCCCTTTGAGAAGGATCTCATCTTTATCAATTAATTGGAACTGTGTTCCTCTTCCATCACACAGTCACTGAGGATGAGGACTCTGATATATCCTTCTCAATCCACCCACTGAGAACATACGTTAATATTCCCTTGCTGTTACTCTCACAGTGCCCCAGGTACTTTTGAGGAGAAATCCAAGACTATTAAAGAAGAGAAAAAAAAGTTGTTGAGATGGCTTAGGGGGCAGAGGCATTTGCACACAGACCTGATGACTCGAGTTCAGGTTCCTGGGTCACACACGGTGACAGGAGAGATCTGGCTAGCAAGAGTTCTCTGACTTCCACAAGTTAACTATGGCCTGCACGCACAGCGCACGTACACACACACGAAAATATTCTAAAAGAATGAAAGTGCAACTAGAAACATAAAAATAGCATAAACATCCTTAGGTGCTAACCCTAGTGAGAATTTGTTACACATCACACTCCTTTTAAAAAGCATAATAAACATTAAGACTTTTGAACATGTTTTTTAAGCATGTTAAATTTAAAACAAAATAGTACCTCAAACTCAAAAGTGTTTTAAGGGTCCTGATCTTAGTATTTCTCTGGCTAACTGTAGGAAGCCACCTATCTATCACCTTGTGTGCAATTAGCTTATTGTGTAGCTAAGAAGGTAAAGCCATCCTGAAACAGGAAACCAATATTCTTCCTGTCTAATCAACAAATCTAAAAGATTTATTCTTTTCATCTACCTTCTCTTGCTCTTGTCCACAACAGGCTGCTTACAGGCTCAGGATGGTTTTGACAAAGAGCATTTTCACGAGTTACTTTTGTATCTCCACCCCCTCTTAAAGAAAAGAGGAAAATCTGTTTCATACAGAAGGCGTTCATTGTATGAATGAAAACTGCCACCTAAGTGTGGGCTAACTCAACCAAGAGGGATTTCACCTCCATCCATTCAGTCAGTTTATGGGGGTTTAAAGAAATTCCAGAGAGTCATCAGAAGAGGAAAAACAAAGGTGATGCTTTCTGCCACTCAGGTAGTCTTTGAAAATATGTGTAATATGTAAAACAACCTGACACCCCCGGATCATTTTTCCAGCATTAACAGTATAAATTGCCTCCCATGCTGAAGTGCTGCCTATCACCCTTGCTAATCACTACTCGCAGTGACCTCAAGTACTGCAGGCATGTACAACATGCAGCTTGCATCCTGTGTTGTACTGACGCTCGCACTCCTCGTCAACAGCGCGCCCACTCCAAGCTCTACAAAGGAAACACAGCAGCACCTCACGCAGTTATTGCTGGACTTACAGATGCTTCTGAGAGGGATCAATGTAAGTGCCTGTCTTTCCTATCTGTAGGCATTACCTTTAGTTTTCTCGCCAAAGGTTGTGCTTTAATAACAATGTGTTATGCTTTCTCAGAATGACAGGAATCCGAAACTCCCCATGATGCTCACGTTTAAATTTTACATGCCCAAGAAGGTAAGCAGCTTTCTGTGTTCAAATGGTGCTTTAATGAACTCAAAGTTATATGCTTTTTGCACACTGATCAGATGAATAGACCCTCATCTAAAGAAAAAAGTTACTTTGATATCTGTGTGTAAAAATTCTTGTTTGATAATGGCATTGATTTTAAATGATTATGTCTAAATTTTTCTTATGTATTTGTTATTTGTGTGTTGGGGAAGAGGAAAGGAGAAGAAAGCACAGGATAATTGCATTTTGATGCTGAAATAATTTAAAAACTGTGCTGATTTCTGTTTTATGCTCATCTTAGTGATGTTTGAATAGGATTTATTATTTTATGTTGTGAAATATCAAAACTGACTTCAGAGGTACTTATTTTATAAATACTTTACTGTTTTAAGGAAGATTCCTAAGACTCTATGTTTGAGGAAAGTGTATCCAGAATTCACAGACGGTAGGGCAGATGATCTGAAAGGAAGGCCCAGCTCTGCTAGGCCCTAACTCTCATGGCTTCAGGAAGTTGTCTATGTTCATTCACCTACTAACATAATGGTAATTGTATGCTTATAGCTTGACAGGCTTCAGAACAGTGTCTGGCCAGCACCACATAACCATGCTGTGAGGACTAGTGAAGAAAAGGACTGAGGCATATAAACAATTTTGGATTTATTTAGTCTTTTTCTAACCAGGAGAACCAGAGAGCTGTAATATTTCTATACAACACTATCTCTCAATATTGAAAAAAATCTATGATAAGAAACAGCTTCCCCAGGCTCCTAGAGCTCCATCAGGGTAGAAGTTTGCTAGAGTCCCAACAGCCAAAAGAGAACTAATAACTCTGGTGCTAGAAAAAGCTTGTCCCAGGATAAATCCAAGCCTAGAGCAAAATGGGATCTGAGGGACCAAAGGGGCAATGCTGTTGACCCACCTCTATGAAGTCGGGAACTCTCTCTGGCTCTTCTACTGGAGATGGAAAGGAAATGGCCCCTAAGAGCTAATCTTCTTAACCAGAGTCACATAACTTTCAAGTCCAACAATAACAACTAGATAGTTCTGTGAGGGAACGAGCTCCACACCGAGCACACGGAACTCCTCCTAACAAGTCTGAAGAAAACAGGTGGACAAATCCGGAAATACATACTGTCTGATCAGACCTCCCCCTCTAGGGATCCCTAGAGAGACATGAGGTCATGTCAGAGAGTGGTGAAATTCCTAGAAATCTAAGTTTTTAAACAACTATTAGAAACAAGAGTAATGTGATAAAGTCTGTTGTGTTTTTTTTTAAATTTAACCTCCATTTTGTATAAATGATTTTAAATTTAACCTCCATTTTGTATAAAGATTTAAAAAATGTTAGAAGCATTTAATTCAGAGGGTGCGGTTAATGAAAATGAGTGCCCATGCCACCCTTGAGCCACCTATTCTTGTGACTGTGGTACTGAGACTTAGTAAAATGGACTTGGCCCAGGTCACAGCTTGCTTCTAGAGGACCTGAAGACTTAAAGTGGCTTTTATGGAAATCATAGTGCATTATAGTACTAGACAGTATTCTTTCTCATTGCCTGTATGCATAAATATCTATGGCATATATGTATCTATATATTCTTTCAGAAATATACAGGAATCTTTTCCAAATAGTCTGTCCAAATACTGTGACTTATTATTTCATTGGGACAAATAGTTTTTAAATTACGTATTTGTGTTTGTATGTGTACCACAGTGTACTTGTGAGAGCTGGGTCACTCCGGTTGAATTCAAGTCTTTACTTTACTTGTAGAGCCATCTTTCTAGCCCTGACAAATAGGTTTTTTAAAAATTCATCTTTAGTAATTACAGAGAAATAAAAATTTAAGAAATATTAAACATGTCTTCCTGGATATCTTGACAGTCATCATTCTGGGTCATGATAAGGTCTGTACGATTTGGGTCTGTGACAGCAGGCATCCAAGGACTCCTGCTCTTTACTGTTCTGTGTTCTCAACTCTGGGATTGTGACATTATAGTGTAGACTGGGAATCTTGCACTTTGACATTCTTTGATTTCTCTGCTGATAGGAAATGTAGTCTATACCTATGATGTGCACTGTGGCAGGGAAATACAGACTTTTTACAAAGTCTAATGAAGCTAGATCGAAGTACCCACTAGAGTGACCTAACAACCAATGTTAACCACAGGGCTTTGCACTCTTGCTCCACTAGATGTAGGATATCCACTATTTCAGTTTCTCTTTACACTGAGAACAGGGACTGGGGAAAAGCTATGCGCTGTCTACTCTTGGTTAGATAAACTGCAGATTGCTTTCTGGCTGCTCTTATATGGTGAGCTGAGCTAAGAGTTATGCTTATTATCCTCCAGGCCACAGAACTAAAACATCTTCACTGCCTAGAAGAAGAGCTTGGGGCTCTGCAGAGTGTGCTGGATTTGGCTCAGAGCAAAAGCTTTCACTTGAAAGATGCTGAGAATTTCATCAGCAACATCAGAGTAACAGTTGGGAAACTGAAGGTAAGATGTTGCTTGATTTGCTGAGCTGGAAATAAAATAAAGGAGAGAAGAATTGCATTCTGAAGTGGTATGACATTTCTGGTCTTTGTCAGGTTCCACACATTTGGTCAGACAAATTTAAAGTCTGCTGAGAGCGTGAATCCTTCCACTGCAGGATGATGCTAGAGTCCCACCCTGCTTCCTCTCACACTAGCATAAAATTGGAAGCGAGAGAAAGTACTGAGTACAATTCCACAAGGAACAGGCAGTTTTAGTTGCCTTCATGTTTATCAGACCAGGACCAACGATCTGAAAGGCTTTTCCAGAGAGGTGTGCTATACTGGTGGAAGAACGCAGAGATTTCTCTCCAAAAATAGTAGCCATTACAATGGTGAGAGGACGACAGTGAGCGCCCATTTCAGGGATTTGTTTTTAAATGCACAGGAAACACGGACTTTGGTGAGGCAAGGGAGAATTGCAGTTCTCTTTTCTCAATCCATCTGCTAAACAAAATTGCTGAGTTGACAGGTATCTTAAGCAAGCAGCATCATTTTCATTTCTGCAGTAGTAGCAAGCCTCCAAGAGGGTGTCAGGATAGTCCTTTTTCTCTGCATTGCTTTCACCTGAGATTTGTAAAATAGGCTGAGAACTACATCTAAGTGTTGAAAGGCTCGGGCCCTTATCTATGTAAAGAAGTCTGCTCTAAGAGCTCTGGGCCACACCAGAAGTCACCCTAAATGAGTGCTATAAATTTTCGAGGTGCATAAAAACTAGGAAGGCATGTTTCAAGAGTCACATACTTAAAAAAAAACCCAAAATATTAGAGCATTCAAGTAACTATGCAAAACAAGATCACAGTAACTTGCTTTAAAAGGAACATTTATTCAAAAGAAATGCTCTGCCTCACGGACTTACAAGGGATCGCTCAGATTTGGAAAAACTGTTCCTAAAACCTGTCAAAATATTTTCTTCTCAGCTTTTTATCTAGAAACAGAGTTGAAATATCTCCTCTAGCAAAGGAGGTTAGCTTCCAGAAAGTCCATCTACACAACAAATTTAGAATATTTCCATGTGTACAAACTGGAGAATCATCTGTATTGGTATCAAGGCACATATCCATATTTATGAAATGTTTGTCTCCAAATTTCTCCCACTAGATGTCTGTCCTAACCTACTCTGGGTTGCTCCTATCCTGATTTGGGAAAATAAGAGAATAATAGAATCTTAAGGTTTAGAGAAGAACATATAACATATATGTAACCTAAATCAGTACATAGCTATGTGTACTCACCAGAGAAAAAGAGGTCAAACCACTGCATTCTATAGTGTTCAGTGTTTTTATTCAAACGTTCAGTTGTACTCAACTCAGGGAAATTTTATCTCAGATGGTTTATCATCTGGCATCACAACAAAACACAATCTGACAATTGTGATCACTCAAGAAGTGCGAATGACTAATACAAGTATTAAATGGATGCCTATAGAACGTTGGTGAGGAACAGCTGCCTGTAAAGTAAACTCCATAGCCTAAAGCTCACTGTTCTTTTTCAGGGCTCTGAGAACACATCCTCGTGTGAATTCGATGATGAGACGGTAACTGTGGTGGAATTTCTGAGCAGATGGATCACCTTCTGTCAAAGCATCATCGCAACAATGACTCAATAACTATGTGCCTCCTACCTACAACACAAGGCTTCTATTTATTTAAGTATTTAAAGCTATATTTATTTTGGATGTATTGTTTACTATCTTTATAACTATTAATCTTCAGATGATAAATATGGATCTTTAAAGATTCTGTTTGTAAGCCCCAAGGGCTCTAAAATGTTTTAAATTATTTATCTGAAATTATTTATTATATTGAATTGTTAAATAGTATGTCTGTGTAGATTCATTAATAAAAGCATTTAGAAGAGTTGGTGAATATAAATAAGCTCAGACGTCTGTCATTTTGAGGATAACGTGGTGTAAGCTCTACAACGCCTCTCAGCTCCCTGAATTCTATGATGGTCATAGTATGCTTACAAGAGTCACTCTACCCCAGAGAAGGATGTAAAATGAGACAGGAACGTGCACTCTCCTTTAAGCATTGATTGGCTCTTTAGTTCCTTTCCTTTAAATTTTAACAGGACACTAAACAAAAATTCTTGAAACCTTTTGTCATAATCTGCTTTGAGCCATAACAAAACAAAGTCTTGATACTTTACACAGAGAAGTTTAGCTCACAGTTTTGAATGTTCAGGAGCATGTGAGGATCTCATGGCAACATGGCATCACCACAGTGGGAGTATGTGAAGAAGACAAATGGTGTGTGCGGGTGTGCATGTGCATGTGACTTAGAAGAACCCGTTCTTGCAGGAAACAGTCCCCTCCCATACAAACTGAAGCAGCATTGGTCATAAGGTCAGCCCTGGGCCATAGCATAATTACCCTGCACCAACCCGACCATATCCTACCTCGTTCACACTGCCACACTTTCCACCACATGAACCTTTGAAGGACAAATCAGCACATCTCACAGAATAATGTGCTGCCCTCTACAGTTTAACACTGCTCTCGGCCTTTACGAGCCTCACCTGGCTATATCAAAAAGGCTTCTGTTCTTCTCTGGTTTTTCTCTGGGTTCTGACAATGCCAGTATCATGGGAAGTGTAAGATTCAAAGGAAGATCTTCCTACCTTTGGGTGTGCATCTTGGCCAGAGTCCACCTTCTTCTGAGATGATTTTATGGATATATTTTCTTCCTGGATCTTACCTTTCCTTCCATGTTTCCTTTAAAGCTGCGGGTGCTCGTTAGTTGTTGCCAAATATAGGGTACCTGTGCTGTCCTTTACAGACCAACACTTCATAAATCACCCCCCCCTCCAATCTCCAATCTCCCTTCTGGGGATTGCCACCTGCTTCCGGCTGAGGCTCACATGTACTAATTGTATCAGAAATAGCACCAGGAAATACATCCCCAAATTGGACTCTGGAGTTGTACTGTTCAGATACGGAAGAACACAGCAATAGCATCACATGGGTACATCCCAAATTCATGCTGCGCCAATGGTAGCACGTAATGAACTGAATCTGAATGATCACTGAGTTCATTCAACAAAGCATATACCAGTTCTAAATGTGATCCATCTAACTGCAGCACAGCTTCTGAGTACACAGACAAAAGCTTCTGCATCCACCCTTGATAGAGCATGTTACCAAAGCAGCCCTCTTGTGACTATCCATGAAAAGGGACTCTGAACCACAGGCAGGACGTGTGACACTAATGAAGTAGGCACAGTTGAGCACACACACATACATACATACATACACACACACACAACCACTGCAATTTTACTGACTTGAAACAGTTTAGAGTTCAGGTTCACTAACACAATCTTGAAGAATGTGTTAATTATAGTAACAGAAAAGAGGCAACTATAACAGTGGCTACAGAAAAATAAATAAAATATCTAATTTTTGTTTTCTGGGCAACAAACTAAGAAGCACCAGAATCTACAACTCCAAACCAAGAATAATAATCAGGGAAAGAATGTACACTGGAACACCATAACCACAAAAGCTAATGATGCTGAAATTGGAAAGATCTAGGTTCAATAAGTCAGAGTGGAGAAAGCCCTGGACCACCCTGGGGATGTGCCGCAAACCAGAAGGCTGGACCTCGGAAGTCGAGAGCCATGCAGGCTCCCTAACCTAGAGCAGGAGTAGTCTAACCTCTGGGTACAGACCAGCAGGAAAGCTCCACAGTGAAGGCACTTGCGGAAAAGCCTGGCAACTCAGAGGAGAGAGCTGCCTTCTGCACGTTGTCCTATGATCTCCATAATGATACCATTCATAGCACTGTGTGTCACTATGTACATCAGCCTGGCTTTATACTCATGTTCCTCCTGCCTCTTGCTCACGAGTGCTGGGTTACATATATAATACCACCGTGCTGGTTTTAGCACCATTTTTGTTCAGTTGTCTAAGATGGGTTTAAACAAGTGTGGTGAAAGGAATATGTTAAAATATTACTATAGAGACCCCTTTAATCTTAGCATTCTGGGAGGCAGAGACAGGAAGATCTCTGTGAGTTTGAGGCCAGCGTGGTCAGCCAGGGCTGTTACACAGAGAAATCCTGTCTCGAAAAACCAAAAAAAAAAAAAAAAAAAAAAAAGTTTATCACTCTCACATGGTAAAGGGAAGATACGAAGTGAAAAATAGTAGGATTACTAATAATATGGCCAATATACATGTGCAGTCGATTGTATTTATATATGTTAACATCACAAGAAATGTATCTGAAAACAATGCCATGTACTCTAGAACCCCAAACATCAGAGATCTGGGAATAATTGTAATAAATATATGGCTGTTAAAATAAGAAGATATTAAGCAACATTAAGAGCTAAATAAATTGAGTGAGCTAATAGATTATAAGGCCTTCTATCTTAAGATGTTCTCCCTAAGTCTATAAAATTAATGAAATTACACTTAAATATTCAGTCAATTTTATATGGATGTATACGACAAAGGAAAAGAAGGGCTCAGGTGTTGGTATTAGATGTGTTAATGGCTTTAATGCTTAGGTCTTTTCACTACAGTTCTATAAGGAGAGGTATGCCAGTTAAAGCAAGGCTGTCAGTTGTTAGACGAGATGATGTAAATGGGTTTGGTTTTTCTTTTTAGTAGACTACCTAATTTTAGGTTGTCTTGTTCATCATTTAGAATGTGGATAACGTGATCCTGAGCATATGAAAAGCAGAGCTTTGAAGAACGTCATGTGACGATGTGAAGGAAAGTTAGACAGGGTTGATTTACACCTAAGGTTACTATAATAAGGCCTAGTCAGCTGGATGTAGGAAAGGCTACATTTTTTAAAATGTCATTTTTAGTAAATGCACAGATGGCAGTGACCAGTGTGGTTAGTGAGCCAAAGCATAATGTAGGTGTCAGCATAGTACTATTATTTGAAATAAGTGGGTAAAATCAGATTATTAACAGATCCCTTCAACAGCTGTAGTACTTAGTACTTGAGTGAAGGAGTGCTGAGACGGGGTTAGGGCCATCTATGGCTGATGGGAGTCAGGGGAGGAGGCCAAATTGTTCCAGTTTGCCTGGGGCTGTTATTAGAAGGCCTAGGAGAGGAATTAAATTGATATTGTTTTTTCAAAGAAAAATCTGTAGAAGTTCTCAAGAGTTGGTGTCTGGCAGAATCATGAACCCAATGCCTCTAATGTGATTAATAAGATTGCTTAGAGGGTTATGATGTTTGTGTCAGCTCAACCAAATCATCAGCTAATAAGAAGAAATAATACAGTACCTATGCCTTCCTAACCAATAAATAGTTGTTGGCTGAAGTAAGGATAATTATGGTGATTAAAATAGGAGATATTTGATCAGACAGTTTAGGTGGGCCTCTGAAGAAATATACCATGAGAAAACTCTATTCTTGATCAGGTTACAAATAAAAAAGTCAAAGGTAAAAAGAGAAGAAGAAATAGTCAACTTTTGAACAAATAGTTTGGTAGAATTAATAGCAATTCAGTGTCAGTAATTAGGAGTGTTAAGAGTACTAGAATATTAGGGTTGATAGGCTAGGAAGAAAGCATATTTGATAGATGAAGTTATATATAAGGGAAAATGAATTGATTTAATAATGCCAGCTACAGATATAAAAATTGGAACACTAAGAAGATGGAAGATGAGGTCATATTTATTAGTTTTATTTGGTGTTGCACCAAGTTTTTGACTCCTAAGGTCAATATATTGCTTCTATCCTATAAAAGCAAAAAAGCCATATGTTTATATATGGAAGCAGGGATTAGCAGTTCTTGCATAGTTTATTGATAAATAAGAAGCTGACAACTTGTTATTATATTCACAGTCTAATGTTTTTTGTAAACCATATTTACAGAAGGTGTGTTCTATAATGAATTTGGAGTTAATATAATTAATAAAATTAGTTTGCCTCATTGAGCTGCAATAATTATGTACATAGAGTACATGGTGGTAATAAGAATATTTATGCCTATAAGGATATGAGGCTTAGGCCAATAACAATATGCATATGATGAAAACATTAAAAAATCAACAACCTAAGCCTTAAAATTATATAGACATATACAAACTTAAAATAGTCAATGTATTTTTGAAAAAAAAAAAAAAAACAAAGGATTCATGCAAGCACCATGTGGCTGGTGCCTTCTCTTGAAACAACACTGGGCCAGCAGCATGGTTCAGTGGGTAAGGGCTCTTGTCCTGAAAGCCTATTTGGATTCTACCCGAGGAACCCGTGATGGAAGGAGACTAGATCCATTTGGGGGTGGAGGGGAACTTACTCCCAAGTTGTCGCCTGACCTCCACATACATGCACACAATAAGGTACATGACACTGTCCACAAGTACTCTTGTTTAACAACCTGACACTGAATTTGAGGACTCTAGAGTCAATATTGGTTTTAGAAAATGAGACAGACTGGTGAATGTGATTGTGGAGATGAAAGAGACAAAACTAATACTGTGGAAAACTCTACAGAAGAGCCAGTATTTTGGGCATATTCAGTTAAAAAAAAGAGTAATAGGAAACCTATAGACTGATACATAGCAGCTAAATCCCACTATATACATCATGTCAATTCTGGTGCCAGCAGTCTGCACATACAATGGATACTACTGCTAAGGTA